CATTTGAACCTCAAGAAAATCATCTGAGGCAGGCAGGAAGATTCGACAAGCTCCGTTTGTTCACGTCCAGACCAAGTTCACACAGCTACAGAGTGTCCCAGCTGGTTCTGGAGACCTGGGATTCTCAGACCACTGGGTTGGGTCCCACGTTTTACAGTCTCCTCATTCGCACATGCATGCAACGTCACAGGTTGACATTCCAACCAAAACTCACGGTGGGAAAGGGTTTCTCCTCAGCATCTGGCCATGAGCAGAAAAGGGGAAAAGAACAGAGAGAGGAAGAGAAAGAAATCATCTGAGCTGAGCATGGAGGGAGAGAGACAGCGATGTACTCTTTAAAGTCTGCCCTTCTGCTTCCAACTGTGCCAAGAGAGATCTAAGAGGGTTCAGGAGGTTTTGGCAGAACACAGATACTGTGCCCTCCCCTGAGCACAATGCCCCCTGTAACCCCATACTTAGCTGGCAGACGTGGGAGTCCTATTGGATCACTTGACACATGCCTCTAATGCCATCAGGTATGTCTGCCATACCCAGGGTTCTACCAATCTGGAAAACCCTACTTTAGACTTTCATGGGTTCAGAGATGGCATCAGCCAGTCACGACTCTCTTGTCTTCTTCTCCGGGTGATGCAGTCCCCCATTGAATCACAAGGACACCCACACCTGCCTGCTCTGTGCTTTATGGTCCTCCCTTGGGTCTAACCCGTCCCTCAAGGCCCTTCTTGTCCAAGAAGCTTGCATGTCTTGATCCTCAGGAATTTCTACAGTGCCTGGATTCTTGAAGCCATTGTTACTGGGCCCCGTGACTTAACGGTGAACGTAGGCTCTTGTTTTAATTTCTTTCTTTTTTTTTTTTTTAAGCCAGAGTCTCACTATGTCACCCTTGATTGACTGCTGTGGCAACATAGCTCGCAGCAACCTCCAACTCTTGGGTTTAAGCTCTTCTCTCTTGCCTCAGCCCCCCAAGTAGCTGGGACTACCACCACAAGGCCCGGTTATTTTCTCTTGCGGTCGTCATTGTTGTTTAGCAGGCCCGGGCTGGGTTTGAACCCACCAGCCTTGGTATATGTGGCTGGCGCCATGTGCTATGTTTTCATTTCTGAGTGCAATTCTTTGTCTTCTGTTGAGACTGCAAGCCCTCTGTGAGCAAAGCTGGAATCTTATACTGCCTTGAATAGACGGGTGCCTGTCTACAGAAGATCCAGACATGTCTGTTGATTTTTCTAGGAAAGAGTGGGCAAAACTGGGGTTAAAGTAGCAAGTTTAGGTAGGCAAGTAGGTAGCAAGTAGAAGGGGGAGGAGATGGAGTAAAGAATCTTCCCTCCTTTGAAATGTTCCCTGTTGTTTTAAGAGCCCTGTAGAGTCAGGAGGAATGTTCCTTTGTGCTCTTTTTCTAACAATGAGGACAAAATAATACCTGTTGAAGGAAGAAAAAGTCTAGCTCTCTGACATACAAGAATGGGCTAGTCACATCTCACCTGTAACAGTTTCCAATTTAATCCTATTACTGTGCAACACTCATCTGTCACTGCATTTGAGGAACCCCTTTCTCCTGAGTCCCCAGGCGGTTCACAGGCCCGGGCAGGCTCCTCGCAACCCTCCTTTCTACACTGTGGCGTGTCGCAGGGCCTCCCTTTGCCCTCCCGTCCTCTTGGTAGTTGTCACCACCTACTCAGACTGTGGGGATTCTCTCCCCTTCAGATCAGCCCCAGGGAGGGTGGTCTCCTTATGGCCACCCTTCCTTGTTGTCTCAGAAAACAAGCTTTTCAATTTAAGACTTTGCTGTCTGTCATTATAAGAGAAAAGATAAGATTTAAGGGGAAAACATGGGGATGTTATATAAAAGGGTAAAAATCTTATAGATTGAGGCCAGGTATGGTGGCTGTAGCCTATAATTCTAGCACTCTGGGAGGCCAAGGCAGGGGCATCCCTTGAGCTCAGGAGGTCAAGACCAGCCTGAGCAAGAGCGAAACCTTGTCTCTGTTAAAAACAGAAAAACCGATGCTATAGTGTGTGCCTGTAGTCCTGGATACTTGGGAGGCTGGGGCAGGAGAATCACTTGAGCCCAGGAGTTTGAGGTTGCTGTGAACTAGGCTGATGCCACAGCACTCTTGCCTGGGAAACAGAGTGAGACTCTTGTCTCAAAAAATAAATAAACAAACAAATAAATATCTTACAGTCCTAGATCTTGGTCTATAGCATCTATATGGTTGAAATGATAATCAGAAATTTCTTCTTTACCAGTTTTAGGGCTTAGCAAGGGTTTTCTTTCTTTCTTTCTTTCTTTTTTTTTTGAGACAGTTTCACTTTGTCACCCTCGGTAGAGTGCTGTAGTGTCACAGCTCACAGCAACCTCAAACTCTTGGGCTTGAGTGATTTTCTTGCCTCAGCTTCCCAAGGACCTGGGACTACAGGTGCCCGCCACAACGCCTGGCTATTTTTAGAGATGGCGGTCTCACTCTAGCTCAGGCTGGTCTTGAACTTGTGAGCTCAGGCCTCCTGAGTGCTGGAGTTGTAGGCGTGAGCCACCATCACTGTGTCTGGCTTGTTTTTAGTCTTTTAAAAAACATGGTCTCACTGTGTTGCTGTTGCCTGGGCTGGAGGAAAGTAGTGTGATCATAGCTCACTGCAACTTCAAACCTCTGTGCTCAAGCCATCCTCCTGCCTCTAATTTTTCTATTTTTAGTAGCTCTGGGGTCTTGCTCTTGCTGGGGTTAGTCTCAAACTCCTGAGCTACTACGAGTTTCAGAGTACCACAGTTACAGGCATGAGCCACCACTACAGGCCTGATTTAGTTGTTATTTCTTTGTTCTCCAGTCACGTTATTTGCAGACATTTGCAAATGACCCACTGATGTGAACAATATCACTGGATAAACCCATGGGTCTGTTAAGAGAACAGATTGGGTTCTACTACCTCGTATGTAGATATGGAAAATAGATAAACATTGTAACAACAATGATAGCTGCTGTATGCCAGCGGCTCTTGCAGGAACACTGCCACCCACAGCAGTAATTGTACTAAGGCATTGTACTAAGAGACTTATTTGTTATTTCATTCATCTTTCTAACAAGCCTATGGTGTGGGAAAGAAAAGTAAAGTAGGTGACAATCCTCATTTTGTAAGGATTGTCACCCATCACTTCTTTTCTTGTTTTTATTCTTTGAGTGCAGTGGCACAATCATAGCTCACTGTGCAGCCTCCAACTCCTGGGCTCAAGTGACCCTCCCGCTTCAGCTTTCTAAGTAGCTGGGACTACAGGTACACACCACCACGCCCAGCTGATTTTTAATAATTTTTTATAGAGATGCATTATTGAACTCCTGGGCTCAAGCGATTCTCTCACGATGATCTCCTAAAGTGCTGAGATTACAAGTGTGACCCACCAAGCCAGGCCCCAACACTGTCTTTTTAAAAAATCTATCCCTCAATAGTTTATTATGACTCCCGGTTGAGGGGTGTTGCTGCAGGTAATGTTATACATAAATATGGATAATCGTGTTTGGAAATGATAAAATCAGAAGTTTTGTGTTCTAATCATGTAAACACAGTCTAGACCAGTGGTTTTCGACCTTCCTAATGCCTCAGCCCTTTAATACAGTTCCTGTGGGTTGCAACCCGCAGGTTGAGAATGGCTGGTCTAGACAGACCCCTGTAAATAGCCACAGGCACAGGCTGAGGGCTGAGCAGTGAGTCAGAGGCCATGGGTGGAAAAAAAGGCTCAGACTATGGAGAGATGGCTGCGGATGGCAGAGGGGACCCCGCCCAGAGGGACGTCCTTCTGGGAGGAGGGTCTAAGAGGGGTGACTGCTAGTCTAACTTTATCCAGTTGGACCCTTAATCCCAAGGTGGAGCCGCTTCACGGATGCTTTCATCTAGAGCTTCTGTAAGCGGGACCCTTACTGTCACCCATCTGCCTAGGAGCCCAGAAAGCTCCAAGGGTGTCCCTTGTCCTTTAGCTTGTTTTGCTTCTGCCCCAAATAGAGGCAAAGTGTTAGGAACAAGCAATCAACACAGCTCTAAAGAAGCCGTGGGCCTGTCTTTGTTCTTGGCTTATCTTGTCAGTAACCTTGGGGTAATACTTTCAGCTGCAGAGGAAGACTGAAGCAACTTCAGCCAAGGTTTTAACATTTTAATCCAAGACTGTGACCACATACAGCCACCCAAGTAGGTGAAACGAGGCAGGGATGTGTTGCAAAGCATTCGTAGACTCTAAGGTCCGAACAATCGTTTGTTAGTAATGACTGTGAACTTACATTTCAAAACATCTATGTCTTTGAAAATTGGCTTCTAGTGCAGTTTGCAGTGAAATACCATATCACTAAATGTGACACACACACGTGCTACATACATACATTTATATTTAAAACCCCAGTTGTAACAATGATTAAAACATCATATCTAGGCTGGGCGTGTTGGCTCATGCCTGTAATCTCAGCATTCTGGGAGGCCAAGGCAGGAGATCCCTGGAGCTCAGGAGTTTAAGACCAGCCTGAGCAAGAGGGAAACCCCATCTTTACTAAAAATAGAATATATAGCTGGGCGTTGTGGCTGGTACCTGTAATCCCAGCTACCCCGGAGGCTGAGTCAAGAGAAATGCTTGAGCCCAAGAGTTTGCAGTTGCTATGAGCTATGACGCCACAGCACTCTACTCAGGGCACAGAGTGAGACTCTGTCTGGAAAAAACAAACAAACAAAAAACAGATCATATCTAATACGTATATAATAATATCATATAATTCACAAACATAGTTCTCTTTGGTAGATCCTGAAAGCTAATTTGTGTTAAGTATTTTATCTTCAAATAAAAACAAATCGCTGGGTGATGCCTGTGGCTCAGTGGGTAGGGTAATGGCCCCATATACCAAGGGTGGCAGGTTCAAAGCTGGCCCCGGCTGAACTGCAACAAAAAAATAGCTGGGCGTTGTGTTGGGCACCTGTAGTCCCAGCTACTCGGGAGGCTGAGGCCAGAGAATCGCCTAAGCCCAAGAGCTGGAGGTTGCTGTGAGCTGTGACACCACAGCACTCTACCCAGGGCAATAAAATAAGACTCTGTCTCTACAAAAAAATTTTTTTAAAAAATCAGCATTTGGCACTCGTGTAAAATGTTCAGTGAATGAGAAGCAGGTAGAATCATTCCAGTTGGAGATGCCAGGGTAATTCATTATGTATAGCCTGATAAAACTAGAGGTGGCATGGTTCAGCGCCCGTAGCTCAGTGGTTAGGGCATTGGCCACATACACTGGAGCTGGCAGGTTCAAGCTCAGCCTGGGGCTGCTAAACAACAATGACAATTACAACAAAAAAATAGCTGGGTGTTGTGGAGGTGCCTATAGTCCCAGCTATTGGGGAGGCCAAGGCAAGAGAATCACTTAAGCCCAAAAGTTTGAAGTTGCTGTGAGCTTTGACATCACAGTACTCTACTGAAGGTGACATAATGAGACTGTCTCAAAAAAGAAAAAAAAACTAGAGGTGACAGATGGAACAGGTGATCTAAGTAAGCTCTCTTAGAGGCAAATGAGAAATGCAGAGACTCTAAGGTAGGCGTCCTCAAACTATGCCGGTCACATGCGGCCTGCCTAGGACATTTATCTGGCCTGCCGGGTGTTTTTTGCCGCCGCTGCCGGTCCTGCTTAGCACCTGACTCGTCCTGGGGCCCGCAGTCCAGCCCTCCAATGGTCTGAGGGACAATGAACTAGCCCCCTGTTTAAAAAGTTTGAGGACCCCTGCTCTAAGGAGTGTTCCCTTCTGAGAACTAGTTTTGCCCCAAGGATTCTTAGCAAGCAGACCTTTTCTTCCCTTAGGTGTCAAAAAATTACCAACAGCCAAGATTATGGTTCTTAAGCAGTGGTGAGCACGGAGCAGAGAATTCATGGCACAGAGTTCACCGCATGTGAACTCTGCAATTTGGGAGGGCGCAATAAGACACTGTACTGTGAGGAGGACACGTGTGTGAGCTGCACACAACCAGACTCTACGGAGCAAGGAAATACTCAAGCTTATATTTCTTATAGCCATTGATGCAGCCATTGCTTATACAGTGGAAACTGTAAGAAAAAGAAAAGAAAACCTAGAAAGGTCAGGTAAAAGTGAGAAGGAGAATCTTGTTTCACAGGTTGGAGCCTCCTGCCAGTGACTCAGGGCCACCTGGGGCATCCCCCCCACCTCTCTGAGAGCTATTTCTCTCATCTTTCCTTGTGGTCCCAGGTGATAATTTAGTATGGTTTTTACTGCAGCCAGTACTGCTATTATCATTGCTACCTATCATTTACTACTGAATGCTTTCTGTGAGATAGGTTCTGTGCTAACCGCTCTACTTAACTCCCTTTTTTTTTTTTTGAGACTATGTTGCCCTCAGTAGAGTGTCATGGCCTCACAGCTCACAGCAACCTCCAACTCTTGGGCTTAAGTGATTCTCTTGCCTCAGCCTCCCAAGTAGCTGGGACTATAGGCACCCACCACAATGCCCGGCTATTTTTGTTGCAGTTCTCATTGTTGTTTGAGCTGGCCCGGGTCAGGTTTGAACCTGCCAGCCTCGGTGTACGTGGCCGGCACCCTAACCCACTGAGCTATGGGCAACGCCATGTACTTACTCCATTTTACAGATAATGCAACAGTGCCTCAGCAGGGTTAAACGACTTAGCCAAAATCACCAAGCTATTAAAATAGCGGTATATTGGGCATTGAACCTAGGCTATTTAAGTCCCCGTCTGTGCCCTTAGGCAGCAAAAATAAGATGATATCAAATGGGGGAGAACAGAAACATAGAATTTCTAAGTACTCGATAAATACCTCATATTTAGTCCTGCCAACAATCCTGCCGGTAGGTGTCATTATTCCCATTTTACAGATGAAGAAACTGAGGCTTAGAGAGATTAAGTAACTTACTCAAAGTTGCACTGTTTTGTTTGTTTGTTTGTTTGTTTGTTTGGAGACAGAGTCTCACTTTGTTACCTTCGGTAGAGTGCTATAACATCACAGCTCACAGCAACCTCAAACTCTTAGGCTTAAGCAATTCTCTTGCCTCAGCCTCCCAAGTAGCTGGGATTATAGGCCCCTGCCACAACATGGCTATTTTTTTTAAATTTCTCTTTTTCTTTCTTTTTTTTTTTTTTTTTGAGAAAGAGTCTCACCCTGGGTAGAGTGCCGTGGCATCACAGCTCACAGCAACCTCCAACTCTTGGGCTTAAGCAGTTCTCTTGCCTCAGCCTCCCAAGTAGCTGGGACTACAGGTGCCACAATGTCCAGCTATTTTTTTGTTATTATTGTTTAACAGGCCCTGGCCGGGTTTGAACCCACCAGCCCTGGTGCATGTGGCCAGTGCCCTAGCCACTGAGGTACGAGAGCCGAGAGCCGAGCCTCACATTCTTATTTTATAAATGGGAAAACAAAAACTCCAGGAGGTTGAATGACTAGTGGCTAATAATACGGTGAAATTAGACACGAGGTTTCCTGATTCTTAAGCCACTGTTCTTTCCACAACGTGATCCAGGAATCACTTTAGAGTAAATTCCTTTTTTCCCCTCTTTTGACCCAGGGAGGAAAAAAAAAAGTGAGAAAGCTTAAGGAAGCATTTAACAAAATCAGGTTATCCTTGTAAAGTGAAGTTACCCGAAGGTAATTTCAGAGGCTGGAATTAGCAGAGCATGGGAAAAGATAAGGGCTAATCTAAGGCAATTAGAGTAAGCAGGCAATTAAAGACTTTAGTTACTTGTATTTAGGTGAATGATCTGAAACAGCAGGGACCTAAAAAGGGAGGACTTCTAACTCCCACATAAAAATGCACAGTGAGACAAAAGGTATTTGTTTTGATACTTAACTTAGTAGGGGAAAAAAACAAGTGGAACAAAATGTTAGCTGGGTCCTCTTAGTCCAATTTCAGGGCCTAGGAAATCCAAAGCCCACCTCCTTTTTTTTGGTGAGTTGTCCCAAAGAGTTCCCATTTTCTTGGCTTTGCTGCCGTCTGAGATCTTGCTTCCCTGTGTAAATTGAGGTGAATTTACCATAGAGATGGAAGGAGGTGTTTCCATCCCAGTAATAGCAAATAAATTCAGTGGAAACAGGTAGTATCACTAATGCTGTCTCAACCCCTCTCCACTGCCTCATCTCAGCGTCTGGCCTCCTCTCCTTTTCCTCCTCCTCCCCTTCCCTTCCAGGAGCGGGAACAACAAACTCTAATCTCCAGCCCAGCAGGTTCCCCCGCCCTCTGAAGTCTAGAGCCTGCTAACATCCTTGCCCTCTGGGTCTCATCCTTTCCCACAAGTTTATCAAATCCTTCCTGGAGGAGACAGCTCCCTCCTTCCCTACGCAGAATTTCGAGCTATTAAGATTTAAAAAGAAAAATCTTTACATAAGATTAAACATCTTTGAAGTTAATGAGGATGGCATCTGACTGCACTGTGATGTTTATATTTTTAATTGCTTTTTTCTGTATGGAATTTTATTAGCATAACTGTTAGCAATGGAGGTTTCTTGAACTTTATAGAATTTTGATTTTAATCTTCTAAATTTATTTATTTTTGAGACAGAGTATTTGTCTCCCTCCATCTCCATCAATCATCCACATCAAAAAGATTAGATTAAGAGGTTGTAACTAAGGCAGCACTTGGGGTCCTATTTCTTTTATTTATTTATTCATTAGTCCTGAAAATCATGACATATTGGGGTCTCCTTTAGAGCTAAAGGCAGAAGAGGAAGAAGTTAGGTACTCTTCCAAGGGCTTTGAAAACTCAAACCTATTAAATAACAGAAAACATCACATGTTCACAGCAATATGTGTAGTTTTTGTTGTTGTTGTTTTGAGACAGAGTCTCACTATGTCACCCTCAGTAGAGTACTATAGCGTCATAGCTCACAGCAACCTCAAACTCTTGGGCTTAAGCAATTCTCTTGCCTCAGCCTCCCAAATAGCTGGGACTACAGGTGCCCACAACACCCAGCTATTTTTTTGTTGTAGTTGTCGCTGTTGTTTAGCAGACTTGGACCTGGTTCTAACCTGCCAACCTGGATGCATGTGGCAGGCACCCTGACCACTGGGCTACAGGGGCAGAGCCAGCAATATGTGTGGTTTTAAAACCATTTTCCTGAGAATACTCATATCTGAAGATTCTTAGGCAAAAAGAGATGTCTCCGTGGTCTGACAGTCACATTCCTGGCGTGATGGCCTAAGTAATATTCTTTGCATTCCTCTATGATTTTTCTTCTTCCAGTTCTTTCCATTTAACAAAGCTCTGACTTCATGCATCACACACCCCTTTTTCTGATGAGAGCAAGAGGCCTCCAGATATTCAGGTCTTAGATAACCTCTTAGGTGTGGGGGTGTGACACTGTTATCCTTGCCTTTAGAAGATGCTCCCTGGTCGGCCGCAGTGGCTCATACCTGCAATCCTAGCACTCTGGGAGGCTGAGACAGGCGGATTACTTGAGCTTATGAATTCGAGACCAGCCTGAGCAAGAGCAAGACCCCATCTCTACCAAAAATCGAAAAAAAAAAAATTTTTTTTTTTTTTGAGACAGAGCCTCAAGCTATCCCCCTGGGTAGAGTGCTGTGGCATCACACTCACAGCAACCTCCAACTCCTGGGTTCAAGCAAGTCTCCTGCCTCTGCCTCCCAAGTAGCTGGGACCACAGGCGCCCACCACAATGCCTGGCTATTTTTTGGTTGCAGCCATCATTGTTGTTTGGCGGGCCCAGGCTGGATTCGAACCCGCCAGCTCAGGTGTACATGGCTGGTGCCTTAGCCTCTTGAGCCACAGGCACCAAGCCCCAAAATAGAAAAATTAGCTGGGCATGGTGGGCAGCATCTGTTGTCCCAGCTGCTTGAGAGGCTGAGGCAAGCGGATCACTTTTAGCTCAAGAGTTTGAGGTTGCTCAGTGAGCTAAGATGAGGCCACGGCACTCTACCCAGGGCGACAAAGTGAGACTGTCTTAAAAAAAAAAAAAGAAGAAGATGCTCCCTAAGTTTCTCCTGCTCACCTGTTCCTCTAGTCCAGCAGTTCTCAACCTGTGGGTCGTGACCCCTTTGTAACAATGAAAACACACTGCCGCATTAGGAAGGTTGAACAGGACTGCTCTAGTCCCTCCTGAAATCTTCCTCCATACACCTGTCTAAATGAGGTGGGAACTTTCTGTGAAATGAATACGAGATTTTCTGCACTGGGATCACACTTGGGCTGTGTCTGCCCTGACAGATCACCTCTGTGGCTGCAGTTGCCTGAGTTTTACCCTCTGCTCTCTGTTAGTCCCCTAAGGGGATTTCCCTCAATACCCATTTCCTCCTCTTCTGGGTCTCATATCCAGCATTTTCACAATCATCTTGCATCACTTCATAGCAGAGTTTGCAGGGCAAACCGTCACCCTGTGGAAAGGGGACCGTAGCCACACAGCATTGTCTCCAAGCAGCCTGGTTTGTCACAGCCAAACACATCCAGGTATGAGTCAAAGATCACAGTCACACTTTCTTTGGGTATTTAATTATGCCTTACACTTTGTTTTTTTTTGTTTTTTTGTTTTTTTTTGCTGTTTTTGGCCCGGGCTGTGTTTGAACCTGCCACCTCCAGTATATGGGACCAGCGCTCTACTCCTTTGAGCCACAGGCGCTGCCCTGCCTTACACTTTGTATCAAAACTACCAAACATACATGGTGACTATACTTAGGATATTTACAACAACAATACAAGTAATTGTTCTGTATCATTGCTTAATGTACCTCGGTTTCCCTTTCAGCTTTATTTATTTATTTATTTTTGAGAGAGAGCCTCAAGCTGTCCCCTGGGTAGAGTGCCATGGCATCACAGCTCACAGCAACCTCCAACTCCTGGGCTCAAGCGAGTCTCCTGCCTCAGCCTCCCAAGTAGCTGGGACCACAGGTGCCCACCACAACGCCCGGTTATTTTTTGGTTGCAGCCGTCATTGTTGTTTGGCGGCCCCGGGCTGGACTCGAACCTGCCACCTTAGGTGTACCTGGCTGGTGCCTTAGCTACTTGAGCCACAGGCGCCAAGCCCCTTTCAGCTTTAATTAGCAAGACTTTTTAACTTGTAAATTTATAATGACTATTTCAACTTAAGTAAGCCTTGCTAGTGTTGGGCAGACGGTTAATGTCAAAAGCCCTTGGGGATAGCTTCCGGTTGGCCACTGGTTTTTGTGTTTTTTAGGTAGGAGAAATGTTTGACTGCCCTGATCACTTGTAAGCAGGCATTGCCATCAACTTTTACTGTCCTTCAGATTCCCTGTTCTCCCTTAGACTTCTTATTCCCCGCTAAGCAGGGGCCAGAAACCGGGCAGCAGAGCGCCGTAATGGCCGGTGTAATAAGCTTCATAAAGTTATTTGTCTCGATTAATGGTCTCGCTGACAATTTTACAGCTTTGCTCTAAGCTTCCCCATTCCGCTGGGCATCTGTACACAGGTCTATGACAAGCCTCATCCAGTCCAACAAAATTGGTCCCTCTGAATACAGACTGCCATATTTAAAGAAGCTCATCTCTCTCTCTCTCTCTCTCTCTCTCTTTTTAGGGAACATAACACTTGAAAATACATTTAAACAGAATGTAATAGAGCTCTAAAGCAGAGCCATAAAAATGATTTATTCATGAGTACATCCTTATTCCACCCCCAATTGACATCCATTTTATGTTAATTTTCCTTGAATGTGTATCCTCAGCTCTTTCCTAAATCTTTACTACATTAAACGAGTTTTTTTATTCTGCTTTGTGCCAAAGACTCTCCAAGAGATCCACAGGGCTTCAGAACCACAATTTGGGAAACTCTGCTATGAAGTGATAATGTTCCCTCGTCACAATTACTGACTTTATTAGGTAGTCCTCTCTGTTTTTTAATTAGGGGAAGAAAAGTTCTTAATTCATTTTTCTCAAGTCAGTTCAAACGTACTTTTATAATCACGCTCTGTTGGCAACAGGAGAGCTATAAGCTTACCTTTCAGGTCCATGGACCCTTCTCCTACAGAGGAAGCAGTTTCTGGTAGCTCCTGCCCCTGCCCCAAAGGACTCACAGCAGAATAAAGAACTGATAATAATAATACTCCCTTTATATTGTATAGTTTTCAAAGCAGTTTCATACACATCAGTTCATCTACTCTTTTTGTAAATAGATGAGAAGACAAAGGCTCAGACTAAATAAAGGGCATTTTCTTTTTTTTTTTTTTTACTGTTTTTGGCCAGGGCTGGGTTTGAACCCGCCACCTCCGGCCTATGGGGCAGTGCCCTACTCCTTTGAGCCACAGGCATTGAAAGGGCATTTTCTTCACAAGGCTCATTTGTCAGTGTATGTCAGAGACCAGGATTTTAAACCACTACTTGATTCTAATTAAAAAAAAAAAAAAATTGGCTTGGGCCTGTGGCTCAAGTGGCTAAGGCGCCAGCCACATATACCTAAGGTGGCAGGTTCGAATCCAGCTAGGGCTCGCCAAATAATAATGACAACTGCAACCAAAAAATAGCCGGGCATTGTAGCGGGCACCTGTGGTCCCAGCTACTTGGGAAGCTGAGGCCGAAGACTCACTTGAGCCTAAGAGTTGGAGGTTGCTGTGAGCTGTGATGCCATAGTGCTCTACCCAGGGGGACAGCTTGAGGCTCTGTCTCAAAAAAAAAAAATTCATTCAGGCAGTGCCCATAGCTCATTTGGTAGGGCTGGCCACATGCACTAAAGCTGGTAGGTTCAAACCTGGCCTGAGTCTGCTAATGACAACTGCAACAACAACAACAAAATAGTTGGGTGTTGTGGCAGGAGCCTGTGGTCCCAGCTGCTCAGGAGGCTGAGGCAAGAGAATCACTTGAACCCAAGAGTTTGAGGTTGCTGTGAGCTGCGATGCCATGGCACTGTACCCAGGGCAATAGCTTGAGACTCTGTCTCAAAAAAAAAAAAAAAAATCAATTTCTCAAATAGGATTGGAGATCTAGTGATTGTCATTAACATGACGGTGGTGAATCTTTTATGAGTGACACTTACCAGTGACTGTGCTTTTCTTAGCCTCGATCTGTCCTGCAATTTATTTCTCTTTTCATGTGGTTGTCGGCTAAAATCTGGGGTCATTTCATTTCTTTTCTTTCTTCTGTAAATTGGAAAGCAAGGGGAAAATTATAAATTATCATTTTAAAACGTTGGTGGTTCGCACTGCTAATGGCCTCTTTGATTTTGTTGCTCCCGTGATTTAAAAGATTGTCTCCAGTGAACTGGAAATAAGCCAAGTGTCTATCAATAGAGAGCTGGTTGAATAAACTCGGGCATGGCCTCATAACGGAGCACTATGAGCTGTAAAAAGGAAGGCAGGATATTTTTACATACAACTGCGGAGGGATCTCCAGGATATACTGTTACATGGAAAAAGAAAGGCGGATAAAATGGTATATATTGTGTACTAGTATTCATTTCAGAAAGGAGGTATTAAAATCTCTTTCTATATACATTTTATATATGTACTATATATTTGCTTGTACCTTTTTTTTTTTTTTTTTGTAGTTTTTGGCCGAGGCTGGGTTTGGCCCTCCAGTATATGGGGCTGGTGCCCTACTCCTTTGAACCACAGGCGCCACCCTTGCTTGTACTTTTTTAAATGGAAGGATTAAACCATAAAATGAAAAGTGGTTACCTATAAGTAGGATTTCCATGTGAACTGATCAGGAGCAGGCCATATGGAAGAACATGGGCCAGAAGCTAGAATTCTCTCCAAATGTATCTTACTGTTTTTCAAATTTATTTATTTATTTTTGTGACAGAGTCTCACTTTGTTGCCCTCAGTAGAGTGCCATGGTGTCACAGCTCACAGCAACCTCAAACTCTTGGGCTTAAGCGATTCTTTTGCCTCAGCCTCCCAAGTATCTGGGACTATAGGCGCCTGCCACAGTGTTGGCTATTTTCTTTGAGATGAAGTCTTGCTCTGGCTCAGACGGGTCTCGAACTCCTGAGCTCAGGCAATCTACCCACCTTGGCCTCCCAGAGTGCTGGATTACAGG